AAGCCTGCTAAAACACCTGTGGGTCCCCTAGATGATCGAGCTATAAAAGGAGCAATCAAGGACGATAAAGCCATTGCAGAGAAACTAAATGATTTCTTTGCTTCAGTCTTCACGGCTGAGGATGTTGGGGAGATTCCTGAATCTGCACCGTCCTTTGTGGGTGGTGAATCTGAGGAACTGTCCCGGATTGAAGTGTCATTAGAGGAGGTTTTGGAACAAATAGAAAAACTTAATGTTAACAAATCTCTGGGACCGGATGGCATTCATCCAAGGGTTCTAAAAGAACTTAAATGGGAAATTGCTGAGCTATTATCTGTGGTTTGTAACCTATCCTTTAAATCAGCTTCTGTACCTAATGACTGGAAGGTAGCCAACGTGACACCAATATTTAAAAGGGGCTCTAGAGGCGATCCTGGCAATTACAGACCGGTAAGTCTAACTTCAGTACCGGGCAAATTAGTCGAAACAATAGTAAAGAATAAAATTGTGAAGCATGTAGAAGAACATAATTTGTTGGACAAAAGTCAACATGGTTTCTGTAAAGGGAAATCCTGTCTTACTAATCTATTAGAGTTCTTTGAAGGGGTTAACAAACATGCGGACAAGGGGGATCCAGTAGATATAGTATACTTGGATTTTCAGAAAGCCTTTGACAAGGTCCCTCACCAAAGGCTCTTGTGTAAATTACATGGCCATGGGATAAGAGGGAAGGTCCTTTCTTGGATTGAGAACTGGTTAAAAGACAGGAAACAAAGGGTAGGAATAAATGGTAAATTTTCAGATTGGAGAGGGGTAACTAGTGGTGTACCCCAAGGGTCAGTCCTGGGACCAATCCTTTTCAACTTATTCATAAATGATCTGGAGAAAGGGGTAAGCAGTGAGGTAGTAAAGTTTGCAGATGATACCAAACTGTTTAGGATAGTCAAGACAGAAGCAGACTGTGAGGGACTCCAAGAAGATCTCACCAAACTGAGTGATTGGGCAACAAAATGGCAAATGAAATTTAATGTGGATAAGTGTAAAGTAATGCACATCGGGAAAAATAACGCCAACTACACGTACAGTATGATGGGGGCAAATTTGGCTGCGACAAATCAGGAGAGATCTTGGAGTTATCGTGGACAGTTCTCTGAAAACTTCCACACGGTGTGCAGCGGCGGTCAAAAAGGCAAATAGGATGCTAGGAATTATTAGGAAAGGGATAGAAAATAAGACCCAGAATATCTTACTGCCCCTGTATAAAACTATGGTACGCCCACATCTTGAATACTGTGTACAGATGTGGTCTCCTCACCTCAAAAAAGATATTTTGGCCTTGGAAAGGGTTCAGAAAAGGGCAACTAAAATTATTAGGGGTTTGGAACAGGTCCCATATGAGGAGAGGTTAAAGTGACTGGGACTTTTCAGTTTAAAAAAGAGGAGACTGAGGGGGGATATGATAGAGGTATATAAAATCATGAGTGGTGTGGAGAGGGCGGATAAAGAAAAGTTATTTATTAGTTCCCTAAATAGAAGAACTAGAGGACACCAAACGAAATTAATGGGGAGCAGGTTTAAAACTAATAAAAGGAAGTTCTTCTTCACACAGCGTGTTGTCAACCTGTGGAACTCCTTGCCAGAGGAGGCTGTGAAGGCTAGGACTATATTGGAGTTTAAAGAGAAGCTAGATAATTTCATGGAGGTTAGGTCCATAAAAGGCTATTAGCCAGGGGATAAAATGGTGTCCTTGGCCTCTGTCTGTCAGAGGCTGGGGGGGGGTGGCAGGAGACAAATTGCTTGATCGTTGTCTTCGGTCCACCCTCTCTGGGGCACTTGGTGCTGGCCACTGTCAGTAGACAGGATACTGGGCTAGATGGACCTTTGGTCTGACCCAGTACGGCCGTTCTTATGTGGATAAAAGAAACACAATTAAGAGTCAAATGAAACAAGTTTTCAGCTTCACCCTTTGCATATATCTTTAATCAATTATTCATTTAGGAAATCAAAAGTTTCATTTAATGTTGTCGTCTAATTTTGGAACTTGCTAGAAAATATTGACTGTAACCATGAAAGCCACCAATAATTTAAGTGAAAGTTTCTGTACGTGGAATGTGTTTTTGGTGTGCCTCCTTTTTGTAAACATAGTGTATAAATAACACTTTAAAGCCAGCCTTGTAAATAGATAAAACAGGTTATTAGGAGCCTTCATTTATTTCAAAGTCATAAAATGGGGATAATGTAGAAGAATTCAGATTGAGTCATACACACAAATGAACCTGGAGTCATACGCAATGATCACAGCTTCATGGGCAAAACAATGGTTGCTGCAGAAATCCCATGCAGACGTTTCAACTTTGCAACTATCTCTGTTTACAGAAAAGCTTCAGGAAATTTGCAAAAAGGATGGATGTCACCTTAGGTATCCATTTATTTTTCAATTAAAATCTCTCTCTCTCTCTCTAGATATAGATAAGATATAGACATAAATATAGTTTACAATGAAAATAAATACACCTCTTGGCAGGACCTGCCACTAAGTCAGATTTATCATTAATATAACAATATTATATTAATACTTTGAAGTTCAGCATCCAAAGTGACATTTCTGCTATTAAATCCATAAAATTACGTTTGAAAACATGTTCCAAAGGCCCTTTAGACAAAAATTTGGAAGTCAAACATTCATGATCTTGAGAAAAATCCCAATCTAGAATTTTTACAGCCCTATGAACAAAATGTTTTATAGGCATGACAGTAGAAACAACTAATATATACAACAAATTTGCCTTTCATAATAAACTAGTAGATCAGTTTAATGGAACAATATTAATGTCATCATGCATTTCGATAAGATTAAATTAAGAAATAAAGGTTAAACAAACAGTTGTCAGGGTTAGTATACATAAAACTTAATCCTGCCATAAGTGCAGGGGACTGAACTAGATGACCTCTCAAGGTCCCCTCCCAGTCCCATGATTCTAAGGCCTGCTCTACACTACAGCAGAAAGTCAAATTAAGATACACAACTCCAGCTACGTTAATTACATAGCTGAAATCAACATACCTTAAATCGAGTTTCCTCGACACCCCCACAGTGGGAGGTCAACAGAAGCAAACACTCCCATTGACTTCCCTTACTCTTAGTGAGAAGAAGGAATAGTGGCACTAGCGGAGGCGCCCTCTGAGTTGAATCTAGCAGGTCTTCACTTCACCCACTAAATCGAACCCTGGAAGATTAATTGAGGCAGCATCAATCTTCCACATAGCGAAGACGTGGCCTAAGATAGTAAGGAGGCACACTGCCCACACTTAGGAATGCATGTGTATACTATTAGTTCCACATAAACACAGCAATGCTAAAATGCATTGATAAGGAATTCTGAAAGCAGCTAACTCATATAACAGAAACACAGAAAGAAAAAGGGTGGAAATAAAGATAGAAATACACGTACACCGACAACTACATCGATGTTTGCCTGAATTAGCTCCCCTGGTCCCTAGGATGACGGTTCTCCCTCCCCAGCTTTTATTCAATGGTCAACTCCAGGGCAGGTGTCTGCAGTTGTTAGCTCAAAACACCTCCTACCTCCAAACCCTTCTTGCTAGCTGGAAAGACAAAATTATAGATTATTCAAATAGAAACTCCAGACATTTTAAGTATGATATCAAACTACAAATGTAAATTAATAAAAAACTATTACAGTTGGATACTAGACTAACATGATCAGCAAAGTTTACCCCTTAAATCTACTTCTTAGCAATTACCAGGGTTAAAACCAACAGCTTAGGGCTTACTTAGATTGATGTATCTCTCCAAAGCAAGCCTCTAATATACAAAATTGAGCTTACAACATATGACTTATCCTGGTGAGTCTTTTCTTCTGTGCAACATGCAGCAAGCAAATAAGTAATTTTCTCTCTCCTCACATTATGCTTAGAGTCAGTGAAAGATAAATTAATTGAAATGGTATCCAAAAACTAACTTCTCTTTGGATATGTTTAAGAAATTGCAAGACGCATTGTTTGCTGTTATCTATTTTAGGCGAGTCTCAAACCACAATGTGGAATGTCTTCACTGTTACCAGAGTGATTAAAAAATAAGATATCACTTGCTTCCCTGACATGTCAAGAAGTTCGTGTAAAAGCATCATTGTGTCGTAAAAATTCAAGATGTGTGTGTGAAGTTACATCAGTTTGTGGACTCCTGAATTTCCAAATGAAGCAGCATGAAGTTTCCATTGTCATTCACTAAAAGTCATCTGGATCCTTTGGAGATGTAACCATCAGACAGAAAAAAATCCAGAGGATTAATTTTATTTCCTCGATGTCTGCTAGCATCTTGTACAATGTAGATTCATGTTCAACACTCACTGAAGAGCTAAGGTGATATCCATATTGACCAAACCTTAGTTATACTTTAAATTGGTGGTGGCAAACCTGCAGCATGCATGTTGTCTGTCAGGGTAAGACACTGGCGGACCGCCAGACAGGTTGTTTATCTTGCATCCACATATGCGGTTGCCCTCAGCTCCCATATGTCATGGTAAGTCATTCCCAGACAATGGGAGCTGCAGGAAGTAGTGGCCAGCAAGTCCCTGTAATCTTTGGACACACAGTAAATAAAGTATCTGGAGGCTTACCCTGATGAACAGGTTGGCCACCACTGCTTTAAAGTAACAAATTTCAAAATTCATAAATGCATCAAATCAAGTCTTTCATACAAATTCATTATATTGCATTTTGATTTCTGTGAGTGTCAAAGAGTGATGCTACTCATTTAAATTAGGATACAGAGATTCTACTTATTTCGCAAGAGATTCATTTTCTTTTTATTGTAACATATGATTGATATTTTCACAGGGTTCCCATAATGCAGTTGTGTACAAATTTTAAATTTAGTAAAAATAACTGACAATGACAGATAAAAGTTCAGACTTTTCCAAATATAACCATTACTCTGTTTTAGGAATGGCACAGCCATGAGCCAGCCCTGGCAATGAGTGTCTCAACCTAAGGTGAATAACAATCCTTGCCAAGGTTAGCAAGGCAGTATCAGGCACACAACTGAAACCTTCACCCACAATCTTTCTATTTTGGGGGGAGGGCAGGCTGGAGGTAAGAAGTTAACTGCAGTGACAAATACATTTTGTCAATTGTGTCAATTTTGCCAAAATTATTTTGTTTAAAAAAATCTAAATGTTTTGTTTTGATATTTTTATAAATGAAACATTTTTTATTTTGATTCAAAATTACTTTTTATTTCAAAATGTTCTTTAATTTTATTAAAAAACATTAAATGTTCAACATGAAAACAACACATTTCATTTCAGGGCAAATCGTCATCATCATCGTCATTCAACCCGAAATCATCATTATCATCATGATTATTGTTTCATAAAAAAATGTTGAAAAAAATCATTTTTGGATCAATCAAAAACCATATATATATATATAATTTTTTTTTTGCCAACAACCAAAATTATCTTAGGTGTCCATCTCTAATCAGGAGGATCATACAGTATCTGCCACACTCAATACCATGGATAAACAGAAGGATTTTACTTTCAGCAACTGTCCATACTTTCAGATTCCTGAGCACAAAATCCACATTCCACACTTCCAAAGCAATGTAAATTATTAAAAAAAAATTAAGAGATTAAAATATATATGTTGAGTAGAATGATACAAAAAGTATTTCAAGGATCTTTATGGAAAACAATACTGTTATAACAGTAGAGACTTTTTACAAGAAAAAGCTACCAATGCCATACAGCATGTAGTCTATTATTGGACAGTCTGCCCATAAGAAAAGTCACACCATAAATATGTGACTAGATTTTTCATATTTAAGTACAAAATGGTCAGCAACTTTTATTGTCCATGTGGAGACCTGCAATACTGTCATATACTCAACCTACAAACATAAATGTCGTTTTGAACTGTAATTTCAAATGTGAAAGATCAGCAGAGATGGCTGTACTGAAAAGAAAATCACTTTTCCAGAAATGAAATCAAACCCTTTCCAACCTTTGCTGGAGCTTGCTCTGTGGGGCGGTGAAAGCTTGAGGGGATTATCATTATGAAAGCCAGCAATCCTTTAATAACATATTACAAGTAGAATTTGCAATGCTCTATAGGCAGCCCACTTTCCAAGCCTTTTCCCCGCTACTTAGTCTTATGAAAACCACAGGTTCAGAATGTGTAATGTCTGCTTCCCAGCAGTTTGAACCCCCTAAGGTGTTTTCAGGCATTGATCATGACTGATGTTTAATTAAAATCAAATAGAACTCTCTTAATCTAAATAGGGACACCCACTACCATGTTGTTCTTTGGGGAGCAACTCTCTGGCTCCATGGACATCACTTGGACAGAGTAGTTGCATCCTTCTGCAGCCCATGCCCGATCCAGATCCACCAGCCCCATACAGTGTTTTCCTAGAATACCAGGACAAAAATGGAACCATTAAAAGCTTCCTTAATTTCTACTAGTAATATATGATATACAAATAAATGTACACTTTGGCACTGTTCAGTTACTAGTGATGTCAGGAAAACATAGAAGTAAATAACTTAAAATCCTGAAGCAACCTAATCCAGAAGTACCTATCATCTCCAAATCTGCTTTATTCCACTTCGACTTACAAAAGAACATGACTAACACAAATGTGGTCTGACCTTTATCTTAGTCACCTGAAAATAAAACTTAATGCACAGCAACCACGCACCCATAAAGATTTTCAATAGAATGGAATAGTTTAATGGAATAAATCAGGAAAATAATGTTTCTTTTAAAATAGAAATACCAATGAGGTATTTTTTCTCCTTAAGGAAACAGACATTTGGAAAGAATACTATACAATTTCTATGACACACAAAATATACAAAAAGGTGAAATAATTCAAAGCCTCCAGATATTTTGTATCAAAATGCCAACAAAAGCTTATTTGATGCCTCTTCCCTCTCTTTTGAACTGGCTGTTTCTTTCCCATGTCCCATGGGTATCTCATAACCAGTAGAAGACACCCCCTTTCAGAGGGTGGAGTCTAATTGGCAGCTGTAACACTGACCTAGTGGTTTTTTTGTCTAAATATAATGGAGATAGTAAAATAATTATATCTACTTTTACGTAAAATTTGAAATTAAAATCTGCAGTATTTCCTTTAGTATTCTTAATTATAGGAAATACCCCAACTATCACAAATGCAGCTTTTAAAAATGTATTTAGATTAGTTGTTCCTTACTGCCTTTGAAATATTTCATAAGTGTTATTGAGCCAAGACGCACTTGCATTCCACAAAAATGTTTCCCTAATTGTGGCTTGAATTGTTGTTGGTTTTTTAATTTGAAACTAGTTTGTAGTCTCCCTTTTCCCTTTAGCATACTAAATCCTATAGAAGAACAATATCCATCTTCCACAGCTAAGTCTTTTGTCTGCTCTTGAACAACTATCATTTGTCACTTTTCTACACAAGAACTAAATATGGACTCGAGCTGTAAGATGTGGATCTAGGTTCAGATACCATCCAGCAAATGTCTATGTTTTGGGAACAATTGCATATGGGATCTGGTAAAACACATTCCTTTACAAAGTTCTAGTAAGTATAGCCTTCCACCTTTACTTCAAATCAGCCTCTCTTTTTTATTTAATTACTGGCCAACAGAGAGAACAGGGTGTTTTCAGCACTTAATAGCCACTGAAGGAAACAATAGGCCCATGTACCTTAACCCAGCTAGTCATAAATTGCATGGAAATGCTCATCCTGCACTTAGTTTTTGCTGTTATACAGGCAGTCCCCGGGTTACATGGATCCGACTTACATCGGCTCCCTACTTACAAACGGGGCGAGGCAACCCCGCACTAGCTGCTTCCCCCCAGCAGACCAGGGAGACGCGAAGCTAGTGCCCCCCCCAGCAGACCAGGGAGACGCGAAGCTAGTGCCCCCCCCAGCAGACCCGGGAGACGCGGAGCGGCTTTTCTCAGCGGACACCTCAGCTTGAGAATAAAGGACTGAGAGAAGTGAGGTGTGGGAGAATAAAACTGAGCTCTGGAGAAATGTTTGGCTAGAGTTTCCCCTACAATATGTACCAGTTCCGACTTGCATACAAATTCAACTTAAGAACAAACCTACAGTCCCTATCTTGTACGTAACCCGGGGACTGCCTGTATACCATTATGATATAAAACTGTAAAACTGAAAAACCACCATTTCAATTTAATGCACCAAATACTAAAAGCTGAACTGTTACAAATATGTTTTCTTCCCTAGAAGTTGGAAGCCAATACACCAACCAAGTTTCTTTATTCTTGAGAGTAAAGTATTCTAGATGTAACTATCCTTAATTATTTTTTAAAAACTCACTATGATTAATGTATCTAGATTGTTCTTTCTAGTGAAATTAAGCATATACCTCTATCTTCCTGTATCTTTCCTTGATAATTCTCTTCATAGACTAGATATAGCAATTTCCTGTTTGGTCATTTAAGTCCTTTGATTTCAAAGAAGTTTTCAATATTTCTGCTGAAGATATTTCTATCTTTACTACTTTCAACACAATTTTTGTACCGTTCCCATCTTGCCCTTGTCAGTGAATTCTTAAAATGATTGATCATCAATTACTATATGTCATGTTTAATATATCTAGGGGTTTCATACTGTTACCCACTGCCACAGTATCTTTCATGGGAGTTACACTGGTTTTAAGGAGGTCTCTAGTGGACTACAAGGTGTCTTTTTGCTTTCCAGAGTATAGAGTATAGTATAGAGTAACTAGTGCAGAGACATGGTGATGAGTAAAATGCCAAAATCATACTCTAGCTCATATCTGGAAAAACTTCACCCATAATGAAAAAAAATATATAGCAATAGAAACACTCACTTCTTTAAGTGTGCTCACAAAGCAGAAATTTGATCCTCTATTGATAAACGTACTAGTTCTTCTCATAGATCATAAATTAAGCACATCACCAAATATAATGTGCATATTCTGCACAACAGCTGTGGAATCACATACCTATTAGTCTACGTTCGGGTGGAAGCCGAACAGCTGTTTGATCTGCAAATCTGCAAAGAATCATGTGCTCCTAGAATAAAAAGTACAGAAATAGGATTTTATTTCATTACTCTTTAAAACTGTTATTTAGTCACAACATAAAAAAAACTCTATATTGATTATTCAATGGTACCAGAAAACTGTTTATAATTGTGTAATTGATTTGGACTTTGAAAGCATGTGACAATTAAGTTTGGACACCCATCCTTTTAAGTACCCTATATTTTGGGGGCAGTGAATTTGTTCCTGGATCTGCCTTCTCTATTTCCACTCAGCAGGGAAGTTGGACACAGTTCCCACAACAGGGCAGTGTTCATAGTGTTCATACTTCAAGTCTTGTCCCCATTTGTGGGGAGCAGCCATCCTGGAATGGGGGCACTCAAACATCCTGCATTTCCTTTCA